TGCGCACAGCTGCTCTGCAGCTTCGTCACCGTGCCATCTGGACCAGGGCCTCCCTTCCTGCTGGCCCAGAAGCAGGAAGGCAGGCGCCTTGCCTGGTTACTAAAGGTCCCTGAGTAAGTCACCCTCCACATTTGTCTGTCTTCCGGGAAGGTTCAGACCTTTTCAGAGAGGTTTCTTCATGCCTCCATAATTGGCCCATTTTCTACCACTGACACGGTTCTTCTCTGGCCTGTTTGATGTTTCTGCTGTTTCTGCTAGGGTGACTCCGGGCAGCTTTCTTGTTACTATCCAAGGGTTGGGTTTCTGTTGTTACTGTTTTAGCTTTTTCATTAAAAAAAAAATATTGAAGCATGATTCACATACCATAGAATTCAAAATTTAAAAGTGTACAATTTAACACATGCATGATAGGGCAATGATTTGTGTGTGTCCCTGCTTTTTATTGATTTTATTAGTAAAAGACTGATACAGGTATTAGATCTGCGTGTACTTCCAGTGGTACAAGCTACTTGATAGGACAGTTGTGCTTGTACCACCGGTGGTTTAAGCCAGCAGGAACATGTTAGTGACTTGTAGTAAATTCACAAGGTTAGGATTCACTTAGAATTCCCGATTATTGGGATTCCTGAAACATTATTTCATTATCCTGAAAAGAAATCCTGCATCCATCAGCAGTCACCCCCAGCTGTGGCAGCCACTAATCTACATTCTCTGTGTATGGATTTACCTTTCAGTACTAAATGTGGCCTTGCGTGTCCGGGTTCTTTCACTAAGCGTAACGCTTCTACAGTTCATCCATGTGTAGTATGTGTAGCACATCTTCCTTTTTATGGCTAAATAATTTTCCATATTATGGGTGCACTATATTTTCTTTCTTTATTCATCAGTGATGGATAATCAGGTTGTTTCTACATTTTGGCTATTATGAATAATGCTACTATAAACTTGGGTGTAAAACTTGTTGTGTAAATGTATGTTTTATGTAAATCTACTTTATCACTTGCTCAGTCCTGTGCTAACTCTCCATTTAACTTTTTGAGGAACTTCCAGGCTGTTTTCAGAACCATCTTACATTCCAGCCCACCCTGTGAGCAGGTCCTGTTTTTGCTAACATCCCCGGTGTTTTATGTATTTTTCTTAATGCTGGCTATCATTGTGGATGTGAGATGATGTCTTACTGTGTTTTATTTGCATTTTCGTAATGATTAAAGATGTTGATAATTTTTTCTTATGCTTATTTGGCCATTTGTGTATCTTTATTGGAGAAATACACATTTATATTTTTTGCCCATTTTGGATTGTCTCTTTATTGTTGAATTTTAGCAGTTATGTATTCTGAATGCAGGAGTCATTGGGTATTTCCTACCATTTAGTAGGTTATCTTTTCACTTTATTTTTCTTTCCTCATTTCCTCTCTTCTTTCTCTTTTTTCTTCAGAGATGGTGCTCAAACCCAGGGCTTCATGCATTCTAGGCAAACACTTGACCACTGAGCTATTTGCCCTGACCCTTTTTTCAATAATTTCCATTAAGGCTCAAATATTTTCAATTTTTATGAAGCTCATTTTACCTTCTTGATGCTTGAGCTTTTGGAGTTACATCTAAGAATACTGCCTAATCTGAAGCTCAAGAAGATTTTCTCTTGTACATTTTGAGTTAAGTTTTGTGTTTGATATGAGAAAGAGATCTGTCTTCATTCTTTTTCATGTGGATATGTAGTTTTCTCAGCACCACTGATTGAAAAGACCATGTTCCCTATTGAGTTGTCTTGGCATCCTGATTGAAAATCAGCTAACCTTACATGTAGGGGTTTGTTTTGTGTTCTTAATGTTATTCCTTAGATCTGTATGTCTGTCCTTAACAGCAGTACCATCCTGTAGTGACTACTGTAGATTTATGGTAGGTTTCTAAATCAGGAAGTTTGATTTTTTCAAAGTTGTTCTTCATTTTCACTATTGTTTTGACTGTTCAATATCCCTTGAAATTCTGTCTGTGCTAGCATCAGCCTGTATTCATTTCTGTAAAAAGTGCAGTTTTAATTGTGATTGGGAATTGGATTGAACCTTTGGATCAATTTGAGAAGTACTGCCAGGCTGAGGTCTCCTTGTTCATGAACTTGGTGGCTTTACATTTATTGGGGCTTATGTCCCCATCTTTTAGTAATGATTTGTAGCTTTCAGTGTACAAATTAAATTTGGTTAAACTTATATCTATTTTTATCCTTTTTATTTCTATGATAAGTGGAATTGTTTTCTTAATTTCATTTTCAGTTTGTTCATTGATGGTATGTAGATATACCATGGACTTTTTTGTAGTGATCATGTATCTTGCAACCTTACTGAAATCATTTGTTAGGTCTAATGCTTTGGTAGTGTCTTTAGGAACTTTAGTATATAAGATTATGTTTTCTGCAAACAGAAATAGCTTAACTTTTTTTCACTGTGGATGCCTCATTTCTTTTTCTTGCATGGTTTTTGCTGACTAGAACCTCCATGATGATGTTAAATAAAAGAGCTGAGAGCAGAAATCCTTGTCCAGATCTTCACTGGGAAGCTTTCGGTCCTTAACCGTTAGGGTGCTGACTGATCGTCAGGCAGCCATATATCAGATTGAGGGAATTCCTGTGCATGCCTCAGTTGAGTATTTTTGTTGAGTATTTTTATTGTAAAAGTATGGTGGATTTTGTTTCTCTGTGTCTTTTTTTAAAAAACACTTTATTAAGGTAGTCAATTACTTTGATAGTTGTATGTTGAACTAACCTTATAATCTTAGCATAAATCTCACTTAGTCATGCTGTAGACTTTTAATATGCTGTATATTCCTACATAATAGTGCTGTCTTGGGGACTTTTACATTTCTATTCATAAGGAATATTGGTTTATAGTTTTTTTGCAATGTCTTTGTCTCATTTTGGTATGAAGGTAATACTAGTCTTATAGAATTGGCTGGTTAGTGTTCCTTTTTCTTTTTTGGAAGAGTTTGAGGAGAATTACTATTAATTCTTCTTTGGATTTTGATAGAATTCACCAGCAAAACTATGTGGGCTTGGGCTTTTTTTTGTAGGAAGTTTTTGGTTACCAGTTCAGTCTGTTTACTTGTTGTAGATCTATCCAAATGTTCCATTTCTTCCCAAATCACATATAGTAGATACGCTATTCTAGGAATTTGTCCATTTCATCTATGTATTATTTTTATGGTGTTCAGTTATTATTTCTTTATAATTTTCTTCCTCCCTATATAATCAGTTGTGGTTTTTCTTTCCTAACAAATATTTTTTTAAAAGCAGCTTTTGGTTTCATTGGTCTTCTATATTGGTCTTTTATTGTTTTACTTATTTCCATTTTATTATTTATTTGTTTGCTTTGGGGTTAGTTTACTTTTCTTTTTTAAGCCTTTTACAATGGAAGTTTGAGTTGTTTTGAGATCTGTCTTTTTTTTTTTTTACTAAAGGCATTTACAGTGACAGATTTTCCTTTGACCCCTGCTTTTGTGGCATCTCATATATTTTGGTATAAATTTTGTTTGAAAAATATGAAAAATGAAAAATATTTTCATTTTTATTTTTCATCTTAAAGTATTTTCTAATTTCTCATGTGATTTCTTCTTTGACTCACTGGTTTCTTTAGAATATGTTGCTCAAATTTCATATATTCGTGAATTTCTGAAACTTCCTCATTTTTGATTTCCAGTTTCATTCCAAATAAGGTATTTTGTACATTTTTAAGCCTTTTAAATTTATTAAGAATAGTTTTTCATCTATTTTGGAGAATATTCCATGTGCATTAGAGAAGCATGTGTATTCTGCAGTAGTTGAGTTGAATATTCTATAGATATGTGTTAGGTCCATTTTTGTGTTGGGGCATGCTACCAGTACTTAACCAGGAAGAGTACAACTTTACCTTAGCATTCATTTCCTGCTTGTGAATAGCATCAAGATCAATCCAAGGTGATATAATAGAGCTTTCACAGTTCTTTCCTGAGTGTGGATATGGTCCTAGCATGCTTTTGCAGGAAAATGTTGGAGGTTTTCCAACCACATATGGGCATCTCATTCCTCAGTTTTGCCTTTGAGCTCTGTGGCTAGTCTGTTGTTTGTTCCGCTCTACCCAGCACACTAGGAAGACAAAATGTGGGAACATTTGGCAGAGACTCTTGGGGTGAAGCCTTTAGCAAATGGGACAGACTTCAGGTTGATTGATGACAAGCTTTTGAGTAGTGATATTCTAGAGTGCCACCGGCCAGATCAGTTCATAACTCCCTTTGGGGGTGAGGCTCTTAGAGATCTCTGGCCTCTCTTTGTTCCCTCTGATGCTGGAAATGCTGTTGTTTCAGGGCTGCTGCAAAGCTAAGGAGCAGGGGATGAGACAAAAGTAAGTTAAAATGCCTCAAAAAAATGTGCCTTTTCTTCATTAAATGCTGCTTGGGTTGCTGCCAACCTACAGTTAGATTCCAGAGTACCAAAACAGTTGATTCTGACAGACTTTGCTAATTTGTTGTTGCTGCTTTTATGGAGGGTGAACTTTGGGTGATCATTACTTACCATGGTTCAGTGGCATCATCACCATCAGTTTTCAGTGTAAGGTGGAGGACTGACATTCTGGGTTGCCCATGACATAAAAGCATTATCTCTAACAATGAGAGTCTACAGCCATACCACCCTGAATGTGCCCGATCTCGTCTGATCTCTAACAGTGAGATTGAATCATTCCTTTTTAGTTTGTTAAAAGCAGTCATGGTTAGCTTAGCTATTGTTTGCCTTAAAAATATAATAATTCAGTGACTTGGCATTTCCCTAAGTAAATGCACAGCTAAATATTTTTTTCATTCTCTATTTTGGTTACTACATATAAAGTTATAGAAATTCTGGGGTTCAGAAGAAAGAATTCATGAAAATTCTTTGAGGTATTTTTAATAGAGGCCAACACATTGATAGTGTTACTAAGGGTCTTTCCTATACCAAACATTAAAGCAATGCCTGCTTTCCTTTGTTTGCATTTGCAGGGCACCTTTGATGACTACTTGGAGCTCTTCCTGCAGTTTGGTTATGTGAGCCTCTTCTCCTGTGTTTACCCCTTAGCAGCGGCCTTTGCTGTGCTAAACAACTTCACAGAAGTCAGTTCAGATGCCTTAAAGATGTGCAGGGTCTTCAAACGTCCATTCTCGGAGCCTTCAGCCAGCATTGGTGTGTGGCAGGTAATTATTTGAGAACAAAACTTTCCTTAAAAAATATGAGGCACTGTAATGAAACAAATAAAGCAATCTTTAAAAGACGAATTTAGAGAAACTCAGATTTAATCCTTGCTTAGCTGCAAAATATTTGTGTGACCTTAGAAAGTCATTCTCTTTAATTTTCTCTGGCCTTACTTTTCTTTTATATTTATATTTTGGTTTTGCTTTAACATTGGGTGGTGGGAAAGGTAAAGTCTCACTGTTAAGGACCCTTTCAGAGGTGGAACTCTGCCAGTTTTCTGGGAAACTGGCCAACTGAGCCCTCATCCCACTGGGCAGTCAAGAGGCCTTTCCTGCTACAGTATTAGTAGAGACTGCATGGGAGCCTGAACTCCTGCTCTTACCTGTCAGTAACCAGCCTTCCTCCCTAGTCTCTGCTGGACAGGCTCAGAGAAGCTGAATGGAATTTTCTAGCACCCTGCACGGCAGAGCTGTGGGTACACATACATTTCCTCAGCAAAGGAGGAAACAGTGGAAGTTAAGTGGGAACCAGAATGCCAACCCTATGTAGCAGCCGTAGGATCTCCCACCATGGGTGCTAGTGGTACCTAGGTGGGAAGCCTGGACTTTTACCTCCATCTGGTTGTCACAGTGCCTGACCTCTCTTCCCTTGCTGGAATGGTGTCAGAGGAACCAGCTAAAACACGTTTACAGATGATGTGGGGGTCTTATAACATGCAAAATGTCCAGGTTTCTTTTAAAAAAAAAAAATCACTCACTATATCAAGAACCAGAAAGATACTAATCTAAATGAGAAAAGATAATCAACAGATGTTACTACTGAGATGACATAGATATTAGAAATATAGGACAGTGATTGGAAGGCAGAGCTGTGATAAAAGTGCTTCAGCCAGTAATTATGAGCATACCTGAAATGAAAGAAAAAATAGAATTTGAACATCTCAGCAAAGAAACAGAAGACACAAAGGAGAATCAAATTGACATGTTAAAGTGGCAAATATAGCAACTAACATAGAAGGGTCAGTGGTTGGAAGGGATAGAGGAACAAATTGGGAACTGGAAGATGGAACAAAAGAAATGACCCAATCTGAGCAACAGAGAGAAGACAGATTGTAATAATAAACATAGCCTCAGCAAACTATGACTACAGCAAAAGAGTGATCACTCTTCTCGTTCGAGTTATCAAAACATAGGAGGGAGGATAGACCAAAAACTCTTGAAGAAATAATGGCTAGGAACTTCTCAAATTTTGCAGGAAACATAAACTACAGGCTCAGAAACTTTGCAAACCCCAAATTAGATAAACCCTAAGAAGTCCATGCCAACACATCATAGTTAAACATCTGAAAACCAAAGACATCTTCAAAACTTCAAAGAGAAAGAAGATTTTGGCTGAAGAGGAAAAACAGGACGATGGCCAGTTTTTCTTCAGGAGTCACGGGGGCCAGCAGAAAGTGGCACAACATGGCAGCTCCTTCCAGAAAAGCACGGTCAGCACAGGAGCCTGTACCTAGAGATGGCACCAACACTCCCTGTGAAGGAGATTGGGGGGAATGTGCTGCCAGCAGACTTGCCCTGGAAGAATGACTGATGGGAGTTCTCTTAACCAAGGAATGATGAGAGATGGAATCTGGGCACATGTCGAAGAAGAAACATGGCAACCAAAAATATGAGTAAACACAAAAGTCTTTCTACCCTTGAGGTTTTTAGTTATGCTTAATGTTTGATCCAAAAATTGTAACACTAATAATTCTAAATATATGTAGAGAAAATACTAAGACAAATGTATTGTAAGTAGAGTGTGATTATATACATATATACAATGTAATACCTAGAACAACCACTAAAAATTATATAATAGATGCACTCAAAAAATGTTGTAGATGAATCAAAATGGAATTCTGAAATAGTTCAAGTAAACACAGTAAGGCAAGAAAAAGAAACAAATGAAAAACAAGGAACAAGAAAGAAAACAAATGTCTGACTTAACATCCTAATGTTATCAATAATTACGTTAACTGTAAATGGTCTAAAGATGCCACTTACAGACAGAAATTGGCAGAGTAGACTAAAACCCATGACCCAAGTGTGTACTATTTGTAAGAAACTCCATTCAAGCAATGATATAGACAGGTAGAAAGTGAGAAAAGAAAGGACAAGTTATATCTTGAAATACTGCTGCTTAAAAGAAAAACAGGAATAGCTGTATTAGTATCTGAGAAAATAGACTGAGAAAAAAAATTGAGGGTGGAACATTCTGTGATGATAAAAGGTATAAATACTCTGGAGGACAGCAATTGTAAATGTGTTTGCACCATACAACAGAATTTCAAAACAAGTAAACAAAAGCTTGAACTGAGAAGAGAAATAGATGAATTGACAAGGATAGTTCAAGATGTAACACTCCTTTCTGAACAACTTGATAAAAAATCAGCAGAGTGCAGAAGAAGCCAGTAATACCATTAAATGAGAGTCTCTGATTGACACAGAACATTCCACCAACAGCAGTAGAGTACACTTGTTTTCAAGTGCGTACAGAACATTCAGTAAGATGAATCATCTCCTGGGACATAAAACAAACTGCAAAAGTTTAAAGAACTGCAATCATACATAGTATTTTCTGTGACCATAGTAGAATCCAACTGGAAGTCAATAACAAAAGTAATAACAAAATCTCAAACACTTGAAAGCTACACAACACCAAAATAGCCATAGGTCAGAGAGATAGGCTGATGTAAAATAAAAAGTACACTGAACTGGGTGAAAATGAAAATACAGCAGGTCAGAATCCAGGGGACACAGCTACAGCAGGGCACACAGCAAACTTACAGCTCTAAGTGCACACACCGGAAAGGAAGGGAAAGAAACCAGGAGCACGCAGAAGAAAGGAATTATGCAGAGAAGAGTACAATGCAGTGACAGTAAAAAATAATAGAGAAGATCAGTGAAACAGATCTGGTGCTCTGAAGAGAAAAATACAGTTGACAGACTTCTAACGACTGAAAAAGAGAGAAGAGACAAAAATAGAGCAAAACGAAAGGTGGCACTGCAGACCCTGGGGCCGTTCAAAGGGTAATAAGGGAACACTGGAGACAGCTTCACAAAGGTAAACTCACAACTTGAATGAAATAGACCAATTCTTCCAAACGATACATATTACCACAATTCATCTAATATGGGATGGATCATTTAAGCAGCCCCGTAATTGTGAAGGAAATTGAATTTGTAATTACAAATTTCCAGAAAAGCAAAGTCCTGGCTCAGATCACTTCAATGGTGAGTTCTACCATTTTAAGAAGAGTTAACACCAAAATTACACAATTTCAAAAAATGGAAGAAGGGAAGAATATTTCCCAGTTCATTTTATGATAAAGATAGTGTCAATGTGGCAGCAAAAATCAGGCAGAGAGTTAAAAAAGCAGATTATATTCCTCATGAATATTTGCACAAAACATCTTCTAAAATTATTAGCAAATAGAATTCAGCAATATGTTGAAGGAATTATATGCCATGACAAGTGAGATTTAGCCCAGGGATGCAAGACTACTTCAGAATTTGAAATTCAATTAATACAATTCACCATAATCATCTAAAGAAGAAAATCACATCATTATATCAATGTATGCAGAGAAAGCATTTGGCAGAATCCAACAGTCACTGATTTTTTTAACTTTCAGAAAAACAGGAATACTTCTACCTGATAAAGAACATCTATTTAAAAACCCTGAGGTTAATGTTATTTGTGAAAGAATGAATGCGTTCCTTCTAATACTGGGAGCAGGGTAAACATGTCTAGTCTTTCTGCTTTCATTCAGTGGAAGTCCTGAAAGTTTAATGTAATTAAGGAAGAAAAAGAAAAAAAAGACATACCATTGACAAGGGAGAAATAAGCCTCCCTCAGTTTTGGCTGGTATGATTATACAGAAAGCCCTAAAGAATCTGTACACACGGGGTAAATGGGGGATTCAGTAAGGTTTCAGGGTATCATTTTTGGACCGTATGACTGGGAAAACCCAGAGTTTCAACTGAAAACTACTGTAAGTCATAAGAAGATAGAGTTACTCACACAACTAAGATTCAGAGATAAGTAACTTGTTACATACACGGGGAGCGGGAGGGAAGGAAAAGGGAAGGAGGGAATGGAGGTGAGAGGGAGGAGAGGCCCTTCCATACTCAGTTGTCAGCCGCGGAGTCCCCCTTGTGGGCCTGGATGAGCATATTTAGTGGCCTGGGGGACCCTGGCATCTGTATTTTCCCAGTGTCCTGCCGACGACTTGGCAGTGCTGCTAGAAAGGGACCGTTGTTTATAGCTGGTGCCTGGGATAGCTGTGCTGGATGATGCCTGTGACCTGTCACAGTAGGCCAATTTCGCAAAGCAAATTCTGTTTGCAGTCTCACATGCTTGTGAATGTGGAATGCGGTCCTGCTGGTCCTAGATAGCAGTGTGGCCGCAGAACCGTAGCAGTGTCCTGGGCTGGTTCCGAACCAGGCTGCTGCGGGTGGGGAGGCAGAACATGCGGCTTTGGGGTACTCAAGCCAAAAGTGTCTAAAACACCTTCAAACAATATGGCATTTTTTAAGCTAAAGAAAATCATAATGCAGCAGAAAGCAGTTTCAAAGGCACTTGGAATGTGTAGAACCTAGGAAAAGACTTCTTGCTTGGTTTTCAGGGCATGTGACAAGGAGAAAGAAATACGGACACGGACATTGGAGTGTTAATTTCATGTTCTTCTCTCCCGCAGTTGGCTTTTGAAACAATGAGTGTCATATCTGTGGTCACAAATTGTGCTCTGATTGGAATGTCGCCGCAAGTGAACGCAATCTTTCCAGAGTCAAAAACGGACCTCGTTCTGATTGTGGTTGCAGTGGAGGTAAGTGGACCCTTGACAGCCACAGGTGCCCATGCAGTGCTGTCCCTGCTGCCCATAGCCGGCTGCGAGGTAACGCGTGCTCATTGTGAGAAAGCTGGGCAGTCTGGCTCGGCAAGGTGTGCAGCCACCGGTACCTCAGCACATCCTGCTGCAGACAGAAGCGACTTCCGGCCACTCTGCTGCCTGTCCAGGGCCGAGGGGGTAAATTCTACTCGGAAGAGAATTTGGTGACCTTAACGTGTATTTTTAGTGTATCCTAGGGAAATATCACTCCTGCTTTCTTAAGCAAATCCTAAGAAATACTTGTTAATGACTTGTGCTGTAGGTACAGAAGTCATTGGGAAATACTCTCAGACTCTAAAATGTAAGTTGTAGAAGCATGTTGCAAATGAAGTATGTGTAGGCTCTTGTGTACTTTTTAAATTTTTCTTTTATCGTGTTTCAGAGTATGGACTCCTGTGACAAGTGAAAATTAAACACTAACCAAATGTAAATAGAAGGATTTGCATTAAATTGGTTTTGTGCTAATGCATATCATTGTCAAAAGAATATTTTGACCTTTCATTTTTAGGTATTTTCAAAATAGAACAGTTGTGGAAATGTATTTTTATTTTATGAAAAATAAAAAATTCATAACAAATAATAAGAGAATAACAATATTTAATACAATATCATTATCTTCAAAGTAGTTACTTGGAATACAAGATATAAACCAAAAAGACTGTTACAAAGAATAAGCAAAGAGATAATAACACAGGATCATAGAGCAGTGTTTTATGTACCCAAGGCCTTAGGACTCAGGGCCAACCAGAAGGAGTGATATCATGAATTGTTCATTTCCAGTGCTGGCTAAAAAAACATGCTCTGCTTTGCCCTGTTTGCTCCGTTCTCCTGTCTGATAGGACTCTGCTCGCTGTGTGTAGAGTATGCATTTTGGAAAGGAGTTTCAGACAGCAGTGAGGAGGAGCCAGAGCAGGGCGGCCATGTCAGGTAGAATGACAAACTTCTGTTTGAAGTGTGTGGGTCGAGAGGATTGTGGAGCACTTTGCAAGGCTGATTTGCTGCCCGTAGAGGTGTGAGAGTGGGGTAGGTATTGGTGGGAGAGCAGGAGAGACCAGCTGTGAGGTCACAGCAAGCCTTCCGAGGAGGCTGTACCGTAACTGCAGATGTAGAGACTTGCCTTTGCTAATATATCCAGATGATTAGGTCCGGGACCTGACTTATCCTGAAACTGTTAACAGTCACAAGGGCCCCAACAGAATTCGCAATGAGGAGCTACCTCTCCAAAGACCACAGCTATTGGTGCTGAAGTAAAAACAGAATTGATCATTAGACTATTTCTTGGCAAATGTTGAACAAGACCAGGGAGGAAATATTGGTGTTGAGAGATACAGAAGCCTAAAACTACTCCTAGCCCAAGAAAGGTAGCTCTGTCTAACCTTGGCTCCATCACAGCCTTGGCAGTTCTGGGTGAGCTCAGCACTGTCCACCCCTTGATTTTGCTAAACACACTCCAGAGTCCTCCTGACCCAGGCCTGCTTCTGTGTGTGCTGCTGATGAAGCTGCTGCTTTTTCTCATGTCTGGTGATGCCTTGGCCACACCTCTGGCCTGGGTCTGTCTTCTTCTTGGGAGATTTGACACCTGCAGAATGGACCTGCAGGACGGTGGCCAACCTTGGCTGCTTCCTTGACTTTCACACGTTGGAGAGCAGGTCCCAGCTTTGAGTTATAAAATGAGCATTTTATGTGTTAGCACAAAACCAACCTCAGAGAATGCATCGGAAATAACCAAAAAAAATTTAGCAAGTTAACTAATTTTATTCTAGTGTTGCTGAGACCTCAGCTGAATGCCATCTGGTCTTATAATGAGTCCAAAAAGTAGAACATTTACAAATAAACTTTGGGTTTATTGCCATCTAAGTTAAGTTAGTAAGAGCATGTTGGAATTCCTTTTCTTTTTTTGAGATAGGGTCTCACTGTGTAGTTCAGGCTGTCCTTGAACTCACTATGTAGCCCAACTGGTCTCAAACTTGTGATGATCCTCCTGCCTCAGCCTCCTGAGTGTTGAGATTACAGGAGTGCCCACCACACCCAGCCACATGCTGGAATTGTGACTCAGACCGTTTCAAGGTGCCTGTGAGGTGCTGGATGTATTAATTAGCTTAATTATGATAATCATGTCACAGTGTCTACTTGTATCAGAACATTACCTGTATTTCTCATATATATATATATATATATATATATATACACAATTTTTATTTGTCAGTTATACCTCAATAAGGTAGAAAAGAAGAATGTTACAGAAATTTCATCAAAACAGTCAGTGCATCAAATTAGCCTTTCTTTATAAGATTTTTTTCTTAGACCTAAAAATATTTTTTCAAGACAGGAATTAAAGTCTTAAAATTAATTTTAAAATAAAATCATTATTTTATTTTTTTCTTACTTTTCATGGATTATGTATTTTGCTAGTACTTAATTAGGTCTTAAATGCTTTGCTGCCAGTAATAGCATATTAATGTGCTAAGATGCTGCACACTCCTGTATTTGTTCATGATCCATAAAATTTCACTAATTAAACTGTAACAGGTAAGTTTTAAATATGTGTAAATTCTTGTATAAATTTTAACAACTTGATGGAGAAATGCCCACTTGAAGTTGTTAATTTTTCCTCCAAATTAATATCTAAAATCACTTATATGGCTAGAATTTGTTAATGCAACAAAGAAGCCTTGTTGAATGTTAGTTTTCTCATAATTTGAAGTGGGATGAGTTGATAATTTTACTGGCTTTTTGGGTCATATTTCCAAAGCCAAAGAACTTGAATTTCTTGGTTAGGTTTTTGATTCTTCAGTATTTTCAGGTCTTAATTGAATGTAGCATGACATCCAGTGAAGGCTGAAATAATCCTTGCAGTATAGAGCCTGTGGCGTCAGGTCACAACTCTTGGGTGTTTACTGCCATCTAGCGTTGCCTTTGAACACTGCTGACACTTGAGCGCCCCCTATCTTTGTGACATAAATTTATTACAACTAAAGAAAGCAGCCGGCCGGGGTGTGAGATGAAAACGTGCATATGCTGTTTTTATGGGTTATGAGTAGTCAAACATTGGCAGTGTCATAAAGTGCGGCCCCCAAGATCAAATCACTATGCAAATAATTTCCCTTAAGTGAGATGAATGTATTTCACTGCTTTGATGTAATTTCAAGCAAAAGATTACAATTTTAGATACAGAATCACACAAAAACATCCAATTCCTAAAAACGAGAAATGACTTAAAACCCTACAGATATCAAACATTAGATTCTGTTTTCCTGTTGCTTCATGCGTGGCTTTTCAGAAGAAATGCCTCGGTGGTACCAGTCTCTCCCTTCCCCTGCCTGGTTCCTGCTGTCCTCGGCTGTCCCCTTCCTGTGGTCATGTGGACATCTGCTGTCCCACGTTCTGAGTGTCCTTCCTGAGAGCCAGGCAAGGTGGCTTCAAGCAAATCCTAGGGGCTGAGAAGGGTCCCAGGAGTCCCTGTCACTCTTTGTTTTCAAGTGATTAAGCAACTGCGTACTAAATGCTTGTTAACGAGTGAGTCACTTAGTTTTTGTTTTTGTTTTTTTTGCAATGTATGTGTATTATAATTAGTGAGAGTTACTGAATAATTAATTTAAAATGTGTAATTGAAGACTTTGATGTTTGATGTTGGACTTTTGGGAAGTAGGCTAAGAAGACCCTTAAGTGAAATACTAAACATCTGTAGTAGCAGATAAAGTTGAACTACAGTCAGGCAGTATGGTACAGTGCTTATGCACGTGGGCTCTGGTGTCAAAGCTTGACTGACTGCATCTTCGACCAGCTCTGGCTCTTTGAATGAGTTGAGTACCTCTTTTCTACTCTTGTTACAGGGATTCAGTTAATAAACACATGTATTATGTTTGCTATGGGACCTAGCAAGGTTATTCAGTATTTGTTAGCTTTTATTCTCATTGTCCCCTCCCCCAACCGCCCGGGAAAAATTCTGTTCTCATAGAGATCTCTGGGTCTAACAGAAAGGTTTGATTAAACTCTAAGAATTCAATTGAAAATTTAGTGGGCTGGGAATATAGCTCAGTGGTACAAGTGCCTGCCTGGCAAGTGCAAGGTCCTGAGTTCAATTCCCAGTACAAAAAAAAAAAACAAAAACAAAAACAAAAAAAACCAATCAATTGAAAATTTAACCTAGGGAGAAACCCGTAGTGACCCAGGTTATTCATCTGGCAGCCACTTCCCTGGGCAGAGCACATGCTGGGTTTGTGGGAGGTAAGTCAGGGTTTTGACTTTCTCATGAGGGTGCTCTTGAATTACATTTCAGAGCTATAGCTTTTGTTCCTACTTCTGTTTCCTTTATTCCTGTTAGTAATTTTGGTTGTTTCCTAGTCTTTCCATGGGCAGACCCCATCTTCAGATTTTATCCAAATGAAACATTGCTCTGTTTTCCCAATGGTGCAGAAATAAAGGCAGCCATGCCACTCTACTGCTGGACATGTATGTGCTGTGTGCTTAGAATGCACCTGGGTCACTGAGGCACAACCCGCTTTGGAAATATGCACAGGTGGAGCTGTCCAGGTCCCGGCAGGGGGTCCAGGAGACCCCAGGTGATGGTGCTGTGTCCCCTCCTGAGGGCCCAGCGGAGACAGCCCTGCCCAGGCTGCTGGTGGGGTCGGGTGCAGACCGAGGGGAGACGGTCACTCCCTGCGTTCACTGCTTACCAAGAAGTACTTTGTCCCCCAAATTTGCTTGTGTGTGGCCTTCTTGTTACTGTAATTGGCATTTAATGAAGGGGGTGAAACTGATGAAAAGCGTGTGCTGCAATAGAAAGCTTCATTCCTGTGGAAACCTTTGGAAGGACCCCAGAAGGACAAACCGCTGTCAGACTGGGTGAGAGCCAGACAGTCAGGGGTTGGGGGAGGATCAGAAATGTGGGCTGCTTCCAGCTTCTGTGTGCACATCGCTTCACAAGTGGCTTTCAA